CTGGGAGCGTGCCAGTAAAATTAACATAAATATAATACAACGCAATAGTAAACGCTCCTTGGTATGTTAGGAACTCAGACCTTCACAGAGATCTGAGAATGCCTACAGTTAAAGAAGAAGGGCAAACCATCGCAAAAACACATAAATAAAGACTGCATGATCACGTCAATATCGAAGTTCTATACAGTTCCTGGACAACCGATACCTAATGAGAGGGCTCAAAAGGACCAACCATTTGAATTAGTGATCTGAAAGTGAGCAGAGCACAGTGCGCGAGTTCAGTGTTTAGTTCATCAGAACAGAAAGGAGAACATACCATTGGGTGAACTCTTAAGTTTTAAGCCTCTTACGTTTACTTAGGTTTATAAATAAAGACAAATTGTAGACAAACAAAAAATATATATACCTATTGTACATAATTTTATCAATAAAGGTTATTTAAGTTAACAATGAATTAATGGGAAGGAGTAGGGAATCAAAATGGTGGCACACTAAACCCGTGAGGCTGGAGTGCGGCCAGTCAGGCCTGGATCCCAAGACTGATTGGGGAGTCAGGCTGGAACCCAAGTCATATTGGGAGGTGTCGGCTGGAAGCCCTCAGAGGAGTAGTAGAGAGATGCTTGAAAGATCGAAAAAAGAGTTAACCAATTACTGTTTTTTTTTAGTCTTTATGCCTTCGCGGGCCATAAAATAGGTAAAAATACAACAATGAACTAAAGTATAACATAAAAAATGTTATTGACCATTTTATAAAATATAAAATTTGAACAAAGCTTGTTATTTTGAATTAAAAACATTTTTTATAAAAAAAAACGATAATAAGATTTTGTTATTTTCAATATTGAAAAGACCTTAAGAATGAATTTTCAGTCATACCTACTTGTATTAAAGGTGTAATATAATTTGCAATTCCGTACCTTATAGATAAGTACAGATGTTGAATACAAGTTTAGTTTTTAGTTTGTTCGTTGTACCAGTGTTATGGAATTTTATTAGCAAAATATATCCAAATTGGCACATATACACTTCAGAAATTAATATGGACAACGATGATATACTTGGCAGCATACCACATTACAGGTAAACCAAATACTTTTTAAGCCTCAAAAATATGATGATAATAATAATAATAGTATTAGCTTCTTTTTAATATAAATAAATAATTAACTTTTTGACAAGCCCTGTTTATAATATATTACGTAACAGGAGTTGTAAGTAACCCATTGCGCATGAAGCCGCGCAGCGGCGAGTACTTAATGGGCCTACAGCTCGTGTAACGTACTATACTTTTTCTATGCCCACTCATTTTCTTCTATTAAATAAAGAACATATGCTTGTGTCGCCAATCCATAAATTTTCGATAGGTAATTTCGAACATTTCTTTGGATTTTAGCGGTAACAAATTATGTGTGGCATCTTGAGCTTTTTCTAAAAATCTCCGGTGGAGTGGTCATAACTTCACTTTCACTACTAACAGACATATTCGTAGGTAAAGTTGAGAAAATGTTTCGAATACAAAAATTGACAATATAAATGACAAGACGTTTATTTCCGTAGCATGCTAAGAAAACGCGACTTAGTTTGTGAAAAATTGTATAATGTGTTGCCGACATTTAGAGGCCTTTTTTAATCCAAAATGTATCTCGCTGATGCTAAAAGTTTTTATGGTTTTCAATTGAATACATTTATGTAAATAGACCAAATACAGTCGCACGTAGATAAAAATTTGATTGTAATTTGATTAAACTAAGAAATTTAAGTTTTCTTATCAAAACGCACGTGTATGTTATGAGATATCATTACGTGCATGTTATTGTTAAATGTCATTTACAATGAATGTTGACAGTGCGATTTTTAACGTTTACTGACATGGGCATAGAAAAAATATTTTTCATCTATATAATAACTGACCAGATCTGGTCGTGTCATTAATAATTATTTTTTGCTTGCCAATTACTCAAAATAATTATTGCAAAATAAAATAAATAACTCTTTGGAATTAAAGGTGTAACAATTAGAAGAATTTTTCATACCAATAGAAAAAAGAATGTATACCTACAGGATGTTCATATATTCTACACTAAGAAACATTAAAGTATTGTGATTGGGACGATTTCCTATAGCACTCATTATTTACCTGATGGGTAGTACAGTAATATTAACTAAATGTTTTTGGGTTCCTTTTAGCACCATTTTCACAGTGTCTAATAAAATGTATGGAGGAAAGAGGACATTTTCACTACAAAATCGTAATGACGATTTCTGCCTTGTTGCTAGCAGTTGGTATAGTAACACCTCCACATTATCTTTGCTACGGAATATTCGGAGGTAAGTAAAGGGGAATATTTTTAGGTTTGTTTTGGTTCACGTTTTAGAATTGTTCCAGAACCATGCGCAGAACTGTTGCGTAATGTTCCTTAATTCTGAACAGTTCTGTAACCTTTCCTTTTTACTCGAAACCAAAACACTGCCAGAACAATTAAATGTCAAAAAGTACATTATAAATAAAAAAGAAAAATAACACACTGATCCACGGGGTGGGTGGCTCAGTGGTAGAGTCTCTGCCTGCGGATCCAAGGGTCCCAGGTTCGAATCTCACCGTTGGCCGGGATTTTTTCATTTAATTTAATTATTTAAAATTAATTCTGATGCTTTGGTAGGATTCCCCACTCGACCATTCACTGTTGGGTACTAATTAACAGTGCTGTTCCTAAAGTGGCGCTCGGAAACAGTAACAAAGCCTACACAGAACACGAGGCTAATAACCGTAGCAGTTGATGCCAATGACACAAAAAAAACACACTGATTCTGTGTCTAAGTAAGAAAGAGGTCATATAATATTGTAAAATGTAGATAAAATAAATAATTTATTCATAAAAAAACGTATAACTCAACATCAACTAATCAACTGCTCCATTCTCATTCGTCATTCGAAAATTTCTTGTAAAATTCCAACACAAAACATGGCCAGGATCCCAAAAATAAAACTAATTTCAAAAAGCGCAAACATCAATTCTGAAACAGTTCTCGCTTTGGACCAGAACCGAAGTTACTGTTCGAGAATGGTTATGGAACCATTCCCAAGAAAAGCCAAAACACAGAACTTACAGGTTCGGAACTAGTTCTGGCGAAACCAAAACAGCGAATATCTACTGCGCATGCTCCTAAGGTTCTGGAACATTAACCAAAGTGAACCAACACAAAGCTTTTTTTCATCTGCCAAACAGTCAAATTTTTTGATTTCAGCCAGTAAGAGCTCGCGATCCTAACCATTCATTGAGTTTTACACTGATTATTTGTTTTTTTTTTCATGAAACTGTATTTACGTTTTGAACTGACAACTATAAACACAATCTAACAACTTTTATTAAAGTTTATTTCAAATCTGTTAATAAACAAATTTTAAAATTATTGTAATGTGAGCCATTTCATTATTCAATCATGCTCTAATCCTCCAAGTCCCTCTCTGTCTTATTTGGCCTTTGAGGCTCAACTTGTCCGATTATCTTACATAATTAAACCCCTTAAGATCACATATATGTGACGACTTTGGCGGAGGAGCTTTCGATTACTATTCGAGAAAGAACGGGATAATATTTCTAGTGTATTCCAAATATAACGTGATAGTGTTTCTAATTTTGGCGAGAACGTTTTGAGATAAAATTTAAACCCGTGTCGAAATTTGCCTGGGCCGGACCTGTTTTTTGCCCGATCACAGCATAGCGACGGCTGTCAACGGCTGGCAATGGCTGGCAATAGCTGGCAACGGCTGGTAACGACTGGCAACGGCGCGATTCGCACTTTTTCTTCAAAAAATGAAGTTGGTATTATCAGGTTTTGAATCTCCATAAAATACAGGGTGTTTCATAAGGAATGGTAAATATTTTAACCTTAGTGTCAGGACTTTAAAATATCAATATTTTGTTATAACACTGAGTCAAATGTTATCTACTTCTAAATTTTTTTTTTTGTTTTTTTTTGAAATATTTTCGTTATTATTTTACATATTGACGTGAAATTTAGTACGGTTATATTTATGAGCTAGTAACTGATAAGCATGTTATCAACTGGATCTACTGGTTCTACTGGATGTCGAAAACTACGCATCATTTTTATTCTTGACATTTTTAAAAAAGTCTATATGGTATATGTAAATTTGAACAAAAAACGTAAATTCAAACTATTTCAAAAAAATGTTCATTTAAAATTTTCAAGCCACAGTATCAATTAAATTTACTTTACAATATTTCAACAAAGTATGCCTTGAAAACAAAAATGGGTTGAATTTATGCTATTAAAACAAGTATACGTTTCTTGTTTAAATTATAGGGTGTACTAAATAAACCTCTGAAACACCCTGGATAATCAATCATCTTGAATTCAGTACCATATTTTTTTGTCTAACAATTTTGAATATATGTTAATTGAATTTCAAAATTACAAAAAATCAGTAATTTATCTATTTGTAGGAATACTTTCCAATATAATATACTCTCATCTAAGACACATAGCGAGGAGAAAATTAAAGACCACAGAAAAAGCATTCGTAGGTAACATTCTATCAGCCAGAGCTATAAGTTTGCTAATAATGCCACATATTATCCTGCTGTTGGTAGCAAATTTCTCCATGGACAAAGCAACCATGATTTATTCAGCTATTATTTTGAATATAATCCCTGGTGTGTTGATCATCAAACTACCCAAAGAAAATTTAACGAAGTTTTCTTTTGGCGAAACCAATAGATATCAAACCTTACCAGCGTAAGTTGCAAAATACCTCTTTTTTACAAATATTTTAGCATGTCTTATTTTTCAGATTTTCCCAACAAATCAAAGAAATGAAAGTTTTCTCCACATCGGGCAACACTTCAGACATGCACAGTATCAACAAAGCCAACGACAACGAATCAAATGATGACGACACAGATGAAGATTCAGAAAGCGAAGAAGATGTCGAAGACGACCTTTTAGTTCACGAAAAGAACATGCAACATAACGAAAACAAAACAGACGAAATATCTTCAGCGCCAACAGCACTAAATTCTAACGCAGTTCAAATCTATTACAGCCAAGCTGGTGTTAGCATTCTACCGGAAATACCCGAAGAAGAAGAAGGCGTTGAAGAGAGTAAAAACATAAACGTTATAAACACCAAACGGTTGAGTAGAATAAGCATGGCTTTGGAGGAATTGAACAGTAGAGAAAGGAAAGAATCTATCAAAGAACTGGTGGTACCAAAAGAAAGTTTTATTAAACCAGAACCAATACAGAATATTGAGTATATATCCAATTATACTGACAGGAAGAGATTTATCAAGGATTTGAAATTTACGAATAAAGGAGCTTGTTGTTCTTGTTCGCCTTATACGTTATTCGTGTGGAAGAGAAGGATGAGATCTTGGAAAGATTGCCTTATAGATACGCTATTCATTCCGATTTGCAAATCTCTCGCTGACCTTCATTTTTATCCAACTCTTTGGAGCAAAATTTCTATCAATATCAGTTCTATATTGTTTATTTCACTGACTCCTTATGTAACGCTGCTGAAGAATGAGGGATACAAGAGCGAAGATATGGCTTTTTTGTTGTCTTATACAGCGTTTTCTTGGTGCCTGTCGTTAATTCTGATGCCGCTGTTGATGACTTTCACAGCTGTGAAGTTGAGAATCACTTTTATTGTTGGATTGGTGTTATCCAGTTGCAGTATGTTATGTTAGTATATTTTTACTTATTATTTGCGCCTCAAATGTATCCTGGCTTCTTCTTTTTTGTTACCTACTCCAAAAGTTTATAGTAAATAAATATACAGGGTGATTCATAACTATTGGGACATAATCTAAGGTAGTGATGCCGCGAGACAAGACGAGACGAGAGAATGGCCTCTCTCGTCTCGTCGAGCGAGAGAAAACTGTTCTCTCGTCTCGACGAGAAGGCGCTTCTCTCGCTCGAGAGAACCTTTCTCTCGTCTTGTCTCATCTCGTCTCGTTTCTCTCGTGATAAAACAATATCAAATTTAAATTTGAAAAAGATGAAACATGAAAAACGGTAACATTTGTAAGACAAAAACAAACAATTCTTCAAGTAATTTGCGCATTAGTACCCAAATTTGGCAATAAGAAACACTTATTGCCAAAATCTGTCTGTCCGTCTCTCACAATCGTTTTACAATTGAAATTTGAATTATTAAGTGGCCCAGATTAGGCGTTATCTAAAAACGAAAATATTTTGTCTTGTAAGTCAGTTGGTGAGGGGGGAAGAGGATACATTGGAAGTTAGAATTTTTCTAAAGTAATCCTGCGATAAAAGCATTTTGTAGTATGTTTTCAAAATGCAAGAAGATAAACAGTTTTATTTATTTTTTGTTTTTACAAAAATTACATTCTTGATAATCCTCGTGTGCCGCAATAATCCTAGAAATGTTAGATAATGTTAGAAGATAATTTTTTAATAAGCTTTTTTTGCCACGAAGGTATGAAAAATTTAATACGTCAAGTGGTTTTTAAATCACCTTTGATATTCTTAATTTATTTATTTTAGTAAATACAAGAAGCGTTTCCTTAGTAATAAATAATAATTGTTAATACGAGAGTTATCAAGAATGTAACTTATTTATAAAGGCCCAAAACATGTGCGTATAAAAACAAAGTACCAGCTACAAAAAATTGCCATTTGTGCAGTGTTAAATCCCTCTAACAGTAAAAAATTACTTAAATTTATAAAAGATACTGACGTTTACTCTGTATTAGCCAAAATGTTAATTATCCATTGTATATTATTGTAAAAAACAGCATTTATAAGGTATTATACCTCCGGTAATGATCCTTTGAGGTTGAAGCGGTAAATAAAAAAAGAATTTAACCTACTTAATGAATTTATTTAATGTAATTTCTGTAAAAACATAAAAACCTAAATCTGTTTACATGAACGTAAAAAAAAATAATAATAATAATATAGAAAATATCTTTCAAATGAGGTATCACATGACCCTACTTTTCATTGGAAAATTTAAAGCTAGTAACTCCCTTTATCTTACGTGTCTCAAGTAAAGTGCATCTCGTTATAACAAAAACATAATATCTCTTGAGTTTTACCTCGTTTTTGTTTTGTCATTATCCTTTTTCATTTAGAAGTTAAAATATATATAAAGTATATAATACATTCGTTTGTATTACCTTTTCTTTGACATTTTTTTCGAAAAAATGCCTCAAAATTTTCAACTTATCTTCAAAAGTAACCTCAGAAAAGCAAAATGGATTAAATATAAGAAATTATTGTATAAATTTTAAATAAATGAAATGAGAAATATTTTTTCTTATAAATCACTATTTATAAAATCCTAATAACACAAGTATCATTTGTTACCATTTAATATATATAGAATAGGTGTGCTATAGGTAATTTTTTGACTATCTCGAAATCTAATGTATTAAAATTTTAAGTTACGATAAGCAATTGAAAATTTCAAATAAGCAAAGAGAAAATTGTTCGAGAGAGCTCGAGAGAAACGAGAAATTCTCGTCGAGAGATGACACTCTCTCGTCTCGTCTCGAATATGTTTTCGAGAGAAAATGTCTCTCTCGTCTCGTTCGAGACGAGACAAGACGAGACGAGAGACGAGAATCTCTCGTCTCGCGGCATCACTAATCTAAGGTCAGATTATTTGGAGCAAAATATGGCGATAGGGCCAAATATACCTTAATAAAATATTGTTGTGGAATAAGATACAGGGTGATAAATAATAATAATAGTAATAAAAATAGACTATAATCAAACAGCAAAAATAATTCACTGTCAAGAAATTACATGTACCAAACACAATTATCTGACACTCCAAAGCACACTTTTCATATGTGAAATATTTTTTTAACTCCCCATTTGAGACTTGTGAGCTGCTCAATTGCGTTTTTATCGAAAACGGGTAAAATTATCGTGTTTAAACAAGAGTACCAATATTACGTAGAAATGACGTTTACATCATATTTTCCAATCAAAAATACTAAAAAGTTTTGTCAAAAAAAGCTACCACTTAATTTCATCATTAGTAATCATTCAAGTGGTGTCCCCCGTAACAAAATGAGAAATTATACATAAAATATTATTTCCTGTCCAAAGATATGCCTCTGTGCCGATTTTGATAACATTTCATTAATATACAGTGACATAAAAAAAAATGAAAAAAAAATTCATTTTTAACGCCCTGTAACAGTAATATTTTATTAAGGTATATTTGGCCCTGTCATCATATTTTTGTACAAATAACCTGCCCTTAGCCTATGTCCCAATAGTTATGAATCACCCTGTATTTATTTATAAAGTTCCATAGTGTGAACTGATTATTTAATCAAATTGACAGGTTGAGTTAAAGCACCATATTTTAAACGGAAGTATCTGTTAAATGGTTAATATTACGGAAAAATGTTAATAAGATTTTTGGTTCAGAAATCAATAATCTACAACTTTCTCAAAAGGGAATTTTTTGTAGCACTAGCCGTTTATGAGTTTTAACGGAGAAAAAGTTTTTGACAATTATTTTGTAATGTACTGATAGCACATTAAAATATAAAATACTATTTTTTATGGACTATTCAATTTTTTATAAATTTCGTCAAGGGCTCATTTTCGTAACACAAAGCGTTTATGAATTTTATTGATCTAAAATGGGAAAAAATGGTTTTTGAGAATTATTTCGTGATTTAGTTATCGAACATTAAAATGTCACGTAGTAATTTTGTAAAGCATTAAATTTTTTACAAATAATCAGTTTATCAGTTTATAATTGACGTTTGAAACTGGGTAAAAAGTTTTTTGAGAATTATTCTGTAACTAATCTATTCATTGTATACTAATAACTAATTGGAAATATTTCAACTATAGAATCCTGAGCTCAAATGATGAAGATTTAACCCAAATCGCCTAGATAAAATGTGTCTCCATTCTGAGTTACAGGTTGTTTTGTTCAAATATTTAAAAATTATTTCTGTCCAGTACATTAAAACTATTTGACGTATTATTGTCATATTTGGCGGGAAGTGTAGATACTATACACCCTACTAAATTATGTTAAATAAACGTTTTTAGCTAACATCAGAGGCGTACGACAGGGGCAAGTGACTGGTTAATCCTTCCCAAATTCTACGCCTCTGGTGGAATTGCAATTTTATCACAATTTTTCGATTCTCCAATACTTTCTACGTAAATACCATACTCCCTCTTCATATACAATATACATTAAAATGGGTTATTATTGTATAGAATCGATAATATAAATAATAGCATTTCTGTTTATATTATATTATTATAAATAATTTGTTAATTTAAATAAAACTGTATGAAGTCAATTTAATTACGAGTATTAAAGCAACAAAAGTAACAGAATAGATGGTCCTGTGGTCTGCGTTTTGGCATTCTAAACGGGAGACTGGAGTTCGATTCTCGGATGGGGAAAAATTAAATGAACTTTTTTCTTTTTTTTTTCCTTTATTTTAAAAATTATTAAAAGTCATAAATTATTTTAAAATTAGTTATTTTGTCTTAATAAACTGGGTCGTAGAAAAAATATTCTGTACAAATCGAGTGGATTGTCCACATCGTACTCAGACGATTGAGCACTCCGCTTACGGCGTCGTGCTCAAATTTCGTCTTCGTGCGATATGTCCATCATATCCAGTCTTGTTGCACATACTACTATTTTTGAATTATTTCGTAAACTGTTGCTCATGCATTAAAATATCAAATAATAATTTTGTAGAACATTAAAAACTATTATAAATAAATAATGGTGAACGAATTTAAATGTTTTAAATTGTGAAAAAAAGCATTTCTTTTAAGAATTATTTTCTAATCTGTTGATCGCAAATTAATCTGTCAAATATTAATTTTATAGAATATTTAATTTTCTACAAATTAGGTAATTTATTTGCCGTACATTAAAATGTCAAATAGCGGTTTTGAAGGAAATGTAATTTTCTACAAATTTATTCTGGTGCTGATCTTCATAGTACTAACCGTTTACGAATTTTAAGGTTTTAACCTGGGGAAAAGTAGTTTTAAAAATTTTTTCGTAGGGCAGACTGTCCTAAAATGACATAGTCCAATAAAATGACATAGGCGGTATTTTATTTCTGAAGGCACCTTCAAGGACTATTGGCGCTATCTATGAAACAATGCCACGCGCGAATTTTCTTATTTGCGGTTTAAGATGTGTGTTGCACGTTTCCACTGCCAACTATAATGTAAGTGTTGAAAACTTGAACAACAATACGTATTTTGGTTGAACTATATAAAAATGCCTTTCTATAGAAAATATATTCTTATTCTAGTGGGTAGTTTTTCAATAAAATGTAAGTATGTTTTTAGTAATGTGTTTGTCGTTTAAAATAACATACTGGCATATATTATAAAACGACTTATAGGTATGTCATTTTATCCCAGTAATTTGTGGTTGTCTTCTAATGTCTAGTATGTTTCCAGGCATTTAGTTTCTTTATTTTAAACATATATTTTTCATATCGTTAAACAATGTATTTTCATTTCTGAATAATTATTAACAGGCTTCAAAAAAGGAGGAGGTTCTTAGTTCGTCGTAATATTTTTTTTATGTATGTTTCAGCGATAATTCTTTAACACGGTGTCCGATTTCGATGATACTTTTTTTGTTAGAAAGGGGGTACTTCAGGGGTAGTCCCATATTAATTTGGTCAAAATTTAATAATTGAGTCCATTAGAAAAACCTCAAACTCTTCATTTTTAATGTATGTTTAGCGATAATTCTTTACCACCTTGTCCAATTTCTATGATTATTTTTTTGTTAGTAAGGGGGTACCTCAGGGGTGGTCCCATATAAATTTAGTCAAACTCTAATAATTGGGCCCATGAGAAAAATCCTCAAACTCTTCATTTTTTATGTATGTTTAGCGATAATTCTTTACCACTTTGTCCGATTTCTATGATTCTTGTTTTGTTAGTAAGGGTGTACCTCAGGAGGGAAACCGAAAAATATATGTTTTTTAAACATCGATACATCGTGCGTATTCCTAGTTCAAGAAAGCCGGAATCTACATCTGCAGCGAGGGTACAGGTTTCAACAATCCTCAAGTGTCTAGATTTTTTCTACGTCTGAAGCAACTCATGAAAAAATATTATTTTGAGCCCAACAACATACATAGCGTCGACGAATCTGCAATAGAGATCTTCTTCGATATTTGTGAATAAAGGCAAAAAACAGGTGGGATGCATAACCAGGGCCGAGGTAACCATACAACAGTAGTATGTTACATGAACGGAGCAGCATCTTTAGCCCCCCGCATATTTTTTGCTAGAAAGAAGCCTAAGGAGGAAGTATATCCCCAAAAAATGGAGAGAAGTAAAAGTAGTATAATATACCCAAACCTGGAAGGATGGATTACACTGTCCCAAAAACATACCGACCAATTAGTCTGACCGTTTTCCAAGACATTGGAAAGGCGATGCGAAAGGTACATAAGGGATGCGGTGATTACAACAACATCACTACACCCAAACCAATATGTATACACCCCAGGCAGATCCACTAATTCAGCCCTTCATCTAGTTTCTGGCCATATAGAGAGATCCCTGGACAATAAGGAGCCCGCCTTGGGTGTTTTCATAGACATAGAAGGTGCTTTTGATGAAACGACCTTTCCAAAGATTATTAAAAAATTATCGAACAGTGGTGCAAGGACCATTCACTGTCTATTAATCCTAAGAAGACAGAAATGGTCCTTTTTACAAGAAAAAGGATGGAAATGGAATTAAAACCTCCAGAACTCCTAAACACAAAACTAAACTTTGCAACAGAGGTGAAGTACCTAGATCTCTACCTTTGACAGCAAGTTAACATGGAACTTGCATTTAGAAAATAGAGTTAAAAGAGCATACATTGCTTATGAACAATGCCGCCGAACCGTGGAGCGCACCTGGGATTTCTCCCCCAGAGTCGTCGAATGGACTTACACGGCTATCATAAGACCTATGCTAACATACGGTACAGTTGTCAAAGAACAGCATGTCTCAACATAACAGGAGCCATGAAAACAATACCGACCAGAGCCATGGAAGTCATTCTTAGTCTCACTCCCCTTGATATTTACATCAAGGAGGTTGCTCTGACGACAATGACACGCCTCCGCACTGTTGTAATAGAACCTGATGTAGGATCTGGTGAAGCGAGACGTCGCTTTTGGTAGGAGGCGCTCCATACGCTCCCACTGCTTCAAGCGAACATGGACTCCATCTCACCGAGATATATTTTCCATAAGCCATATAAAGTTATAATAGAACAAATAGAAGAGCCGGAAGTGGCAGGTACGATTCATATATACACCGATGGTTCTAAAACAAAACAAGGCTCAGGATGTGGAATATGCTCCAGATTCTTACCTAAACCTAAACATAAAATGGGCTGTGAGCAATAGTGCCAGTGTAGTTCAAATAGAACTAACGGGATTCTCATAGCAGCAAAAGAAATAACCAGAAACAATATCACTGGAAGGAACATGCTCATCTATACAGATAGCAGACAAGCACTACTCAACTTGAACAGACCATGAATTTACTCAGGGTTAGTACTAGAATGTCACGAAGCTTTAGCTGATTTACTAGCCAAGAAAGAAGCCAACCAAATACTTTTTGGACCGGCCCTTCTATTGGCCTGACAAAATCGGTAGTGACATACCTAATCAAAGATCATTCCCTTTTGAAATTCAAGGAAAGATGGGATGAAACAAGAAACTGCAGAGTTGCCAGGGAGCTCTTAAGTTATCCTGACAACACTGCAGCAAACAAATACTTGACTATGTCTAGACAGACTCTGCGCCTAGTCACAGGCATTCTGACTCGTCATTGCCAAGTACGAAAGCATCTCCATATCATGGAGCTGCCAGAATCCGCACTCTGCAGAGGGTGCGAACAAGAGCATATCCTTTACGATTTGAAGATTTGTGTTCGGCGAGTATCGGCTAACATCGTCCGATATAAGAGAAGCACCTCTTGGCGACGTTGTCAACTACATTAAATCTGTAGGCTGGCTCACGAGCTAGGAGGTGCCTATTATCTCAGGAGGGTGCACAATGGGCCTAATGAGGCCTAAGTGTTGTGGGGTTAACCCACCCTCTAAACGTTACATATACAGATTTTGAGAAAAACCTCTTTAAATTAATGACAACGCAGTCTTTGGTAAAACAATAGAAAATATACGCAATCACAGTGTAGTTAAGCTAGTTAAATCTTGACAGTATCATTAAAGAGCTAAAAATTTGATCTCAAGTTTTTGGTTCCATAGTCGCACTATTTTAGATGAAAATTTTATGGCTATCGAACTAACAAAGTCAGCAATAGTCTGTATGTAGGACAGGCAATTCTAGACTTATCCAAGACCATCGAAAAAAAAAGGGTTGTAAATAATTATAACAAGTGACAGTAAAGAAGAAAGGGATTGTTTGCAAGAAGATGATAAAGATGACGCTTCATGTATATATTGCAGCGAGTTATACAGCTTTTTAAAATCTGCAGAAGGTTGGTGTAGATGCCAAAGGTGCAAAAAATGGAGCGATACAGATGTGCTGGTATAGGCAAATGAGCCAAGCAGTTCTTATGTGATATTTGTCAAAGTTAAAATATCAAACAATATACCATGTATTGTCAAAAGGCACTCTTCAAAAAATTTCCACTTATTATTAGGTTTATTTTCAAAATAAGAGTTTGTTGCGTTTGCTACATTTATATAGGGTATGCCATTTTATCGAACATATTGTGTGCTATCTAATGTTAAACATTCCAATAGAATAAATGCTAAAATTATTTGTATTTATTTAATTTTTTAGTTAAAACAGTTTGGGTATGTCATTTTAGGACAGTCTTCCCTAAAGGCAAAGGTTTTTCAATTCTCTTGCTTCTTATGATTATTTATTGTTAATGATGTGTAAATAATAATCTTTTTCAGTGCTTACGAAAAGGAAGATGACCAACGACTTCATAATCTGGAGCTCGTTACTGTTCGGCTTCGGTTACGGTTTAACGAGGTTCACTGAAAACTTCGTATACAAGGCGTTCGCTGGAAAGAGGAAATACGTACAATTCGAAAGGACTCTCGACATGTTGAGTGGTATTTTTGTGATATTAATCTATTATTTCGTGTATATTAATAACGTCGATGTAGTCGGATGGTTTCCCATTATCTCGTCAATAACTTACGCTGTAAATGCGATAATTTGGGTGGTCGTTCCCGTTGTTAAGGAAGCTATGATTTTTTTGAGAAAGTATTTCAGGAAGAGAAGTGATAGCAGTACTATTTTGTAATTATTTATGCCCACAAATTTGTTTAAGAATATTAATATTTTATAATAAATGTTTTTTAAATAAGGATTACCTGTACCTTTTTATTTAAATTTTCAATTACCAATAAACTCTCGACTACCACTAGATTCACTGTTGGGTTCTAATTGACATTGCTATTCCTAAAGTGGTGATGGGAAAGAGTAACCCTACATATATTTTTAAGAAAGAAACCAACCAAACTGAGTGGCTAATTGGATAGTTCTTACAAAGCCATACAATACTTAAAAAATTATAAAATACTTAAACTAGTCGTCACTATTTTCCTTTGATCTCTAGCTGTATCTTTAAGGTGGGAAGGGTAAGCTTCACAGCACTTAAGCCTTGTTAGGCCCATTCTGTATATTCAACTCTTCAAAATCGTACTGGTTGTCGCTGATGAGTGCCTAAGGATAGCCATCTTCCAAGCTCATCAAAGCCCTGCATGTTACTGTCTCGTAAAATCCCACTGGTTGTTGCTGATGAGTGTCTAAAGACAGCCATCTTCCCAGCTCATCAAAGTTCTGCAGGTTATCAACTCATCAAAAACCTGCTGGTTGTCACTGAGAGATGTCTAGCAATAGCCGGCCTCTTAAGGTGTCTTCAGATGCTACATTTTTGGAAGTGGCCATTTGGTGAGCTCCTACCACCCCGATGGTAATGTAACAATCAACTAGCCTCAAGACCAATTTGGTTTAATTAAAAGTCTTTAGCTACTGTTGTCAATATACTATTAAGGGATAAAGGCAGCACTGTCACCAGCCAAGGGGTCCTGAAGTCCAGAACGAACATCCATTCACCAGTGACAAATCAAAATAATAAAAACAAATTAGAAAAAGATAAAATTATCCCTTAATAGCATAAGTCGAGTGGCTTTTTGCAACTAGTTATAGACTCATTCCAGTTCTTTTTGGGGTGGAAACGCCGAGGCTTCACAAATGCTCGGAATGTCTCATAACTGGTTTTGAAAAGGTGAGGAGAGAATAATAATACGTATAAAAACAGTAGGTAATGTATATTTAAAATAATTACAAAATGACTAACAGCCTCAAGAATAAATGAATCAAATTATATTTAAAGAATAAAGCATTATTTGATAATATCCAAACTTTTAAAAAATACCTACGATTTATGACAACTAGATAATCTTTCTATTGAATTATATAGTTTGGACTTATTAACAACTAAAATGGCATTGGAAACTTTATATATTGATATAATATATAAGATAAATATGGAGGGTTCAGAAGCCAATCAGTTTAAGTCAATTTTTTCCCGAAAATGACTTACATACTGCATGTGATTTTTTGTTATTTGAACTTTCATTAGACAAAAGACTCAAGTCATTATTCCTATGATCAAGCGATAGAAGGCGTCACTTATTTTGACGACTGAGATTTCATGCTAAATTATTCAGAGGCCAACCAGAGTCACTAAATGTGTAAGTCAGTTCAAGGTGAAGTCTAGTTCGGTATTTATTTGGTCTTGCTTGAAAACCTAATTAAGTATTACGTATTATTTTTATGCAAATAGAAATAATGGACCTCTCAGAAAGTGAAAATGAACCTTTTTCTGACAGTGGTTCTGAGTATGCCCCGGAAAACGAGAAAAATTCATCTAACTCCGATAAGCAAAATATAACCTCAAAAACAGTTTTAAATTTCATGCAAATTCGTAAAACTAAGTAAATTTAGGATAGGTATTCTTATTTTATGATGCTAAATGAGCTGCTCTTGAATATAGCTATTGTTTAACAATGTTTAAATACTGTTTTAAGCAAAACGAAAACGTTGTTTACCTTTTTTATGACTTACACTGATTGGCTTCTGAATTTTTAGACTCGCCTGTAGTACCCGAGGTTGTACCTAATAATGGGATCCAGCTTGAAAATGATGACAATAAAGGCCAAAATGGTGTAGATCAAGCACAAGGAAGAAAACGTAAAAGAAATAAAGAAGCATGGAAAAGAACAGTCAATTCTGCTAAAAGGCATTCAGGAAAAGCTTATGTTAACAAAAGTGGGAAAAACATATTGGAGAAGACTTTTAGAAATGTCGACTGTGGATGTTCTAGAAAGTGTTTTGAGTCTGTAAGTCCTGAGGAGCGGCGAATGATTTTTGAATCGTTTTATAAGTTGGAGGATAATATCAAACAGAATATTTATCTTCGAGGTCTGATACACAACGCACCAGTGAAGCAACGTCCTGCTAGAAACTCATCAAGGGAACCAAAAGCGAAATCGATAAAATATTACTTAACCACTGCAACAGTGTCAACTCGTGTTTGCAAAAAATTTTTCATCGACACGTTTCAAATTAGCGATGCTCGTATCTACAAGGTATCCTCTAGCTCCCAGCCATCTGCCTGTATTGATAGAAAAGGTCATCGAGAGCCAGCAAATAAAATAGATGTCACAAGAGTTAAGGAGCATATTCAGTCATTTCCTTCTTACAGAAGCTATTACACGCTCTCTGATGCACCAAATAGGAGATATCTAAATCCCGATCTAACCATAAGAAAAATGTATCAACTGTACGTCGAAAAATGTGGAGAAGATGGTACAGAACCTGTCAACGAGAAAATGTGTTATTACGTTTTTTCCTTTAATTTACATTTCAAACCTCCAGCAAAAGACACTTGCCAATTCTGCGATTCGTTGCAGAATATTCTGACATTTAGCGAAAATTATGAAGAGAAACGTAAGGCAGATATTGATAAAAAACTTCACCTTCGCAAAGCTGCTCAATCTAGAACAGCCATGAATAGTGACAAGATATCAGCGGGAGAAAATAGATGTGCTAACATTCGACTTCGAGAAAGCTCTAGCTTTTCCAAAATTAAGCACTTCTGTCGCTTACTACAAACAAAACATGTATGTTTATAATCTGGGAATCCACAGTTTTAATGACAATACAGGTTACATGTACATGTGGGATGAGACTGAAGGTTCTCGGGGATCACAAGAAATTGGAGCGTGTCTAGTGAAGCATCTAAAAGTTCATGCTCGTGGTCATAACCACATCATTATGTATTCAGATTGTTGCACAGGCCAGAACAGGAACATAAAATTAAGTTTATTATTACAGAAACTGGGTCAAGATCCAGAAATGGCCATTTGTTATATTGACCACAAATTTATGGTGTCTGGTCACAGTTACCTGCCAAATGACGCCGACTTTGGTGTTATTGAATCAAAAGCTCGAAAGAAGCAGTTTATCTATGGTCCTAGAGATTGGTTTGATTTAGTTGCTGGTGCTAAAAAGACCAATCCGTTCCCGGTAACAGTGATGAGTCGGAAAGAGTTTCTTTCGACAAAAAAACATGAAGTAAGAATTTGCAACAGAAAATCCAATACTGAGGGTGCTAAAGTTAATTGGTTGAATATAAAATGGTTAAGATACTGCAAAAATAAACCTAATTCCATATTTTAGAAAGAAACCTTGCAGGACGACTTTCCACTTTATGAAATTCATATAAAAAAACCCACGTCAAAGGGAAGACCTTCTAATTTGAATAATATTATCCAGGATCCACTGTATTCAGAGCGAAGGCCTGTAAAAGCTGTCAAGAAGAAGCACTTGTTTGACCTTCTACCGTATATTCCTCCAACTTACCATCCATATTTCAGAAGTTTGCCTTCCCTAAATGACAGAACTCGAGCTTCAACCTCACAGGCTAATGATCTCAATCTTGATGCAGAAAATGGAAGCGAAAGTGATGAATATATTGACTAGGATTTTCAAAATGTCCAGTAAACAAACAGCGTAAGTCAATATTTTCACACTTCATCAAAGTTATTTCTAGAGATGTTGCAAATTTGGTTTTTATTTTCATGTTGAAAATGTTATTTTTATTATTTTCATCAATAAACACATAATATACTTTCTCTAAATGAACCCTCATTTTTTTAAACCTTTTTTTTAATGATCCAATTATCTCAATTTGATTGCGTACTAACTTACACTGATTGGCTTCTGAACCCTCCATACTCGCGACGAAAATGGAAAAATTAGCATTTATATGTAAATAAATTATCTTAAAACAGAACCCACCAACACTTTTAAAATAAGTTAAATCTATTTGCCTATAGTACACAGATCTCTGCACAAAACTTTACTATGCACATTTCGGTGTTTCGGGACCTAGGGTCCCGAAACGAGAGTCTCGTCTTCCGTCAAGTTTCCGACCACAGACATTACTCGAGTTTCTTTTTTACTCAACTGGTCTTTCTATTTAAACCCAAAACTTATGGGACAGAATGTCAACGTACAAGTTTGGTATCAATATCTCGACAAGAACTGCTCTAGTCCCAAGAACCGATTGTCAACCATTTGGTTTCTACCAACACAATGTACCAGTATACACGGCATGTCCCAATAAGAACCACCCAGTGGTAATTAATGGGACAGCAATTTAAATCATGTAATAATGTATTTTTTTAAATTTAAAATTGCAAATATTTTTTAAAATTCTAATTACAAAGGCAAGATAAATCAATTTTACAAAAATAATAGAAACATTCTCAGTAACTTCAAAATACCTAAATATTATAATACAAATATTATTAAAACTAAAATAAAAAAATATTTTAAAATAGTATTTCATGGTCGTTTCGTTTTGATAGCTTATAAGCACGTTTTCTCTTTCTAAAATATTTACAACTTTTATTTCGGATATGAAAAACATTGCATTCTCAACACATACTTTGATTACTATACGAGACAAGAGAGAGGTCCGACACACCCAACATAGGGCGCGGCCATTTTGAACCCTGTGACACAGTTTACAGCTAAAGAATCAGATCGCGCACTCTGCGTCGGCACTTTGGATCTCAATGATTCAGTTTATACACTGTGCAACTCGGATAATACAATATATGACAACCGCCTATAATAAAACAGCAGTCTTCTGCGTATACTGAATTTGTATGCCTGGAGTAGATGTTATTTTTTAACTTTCAACTGATCCGAGTGAGCTAACTGATTCTTTAGCAATAAACTGTGACTTCAAAAATAATATTCACTGACACTGACAGCAGCAAGCAAAATATCAGGTGCGTTTTAATCATCCGCTTCTGCTTCCGGAATTGTCGGTTTAGTCGTTTTAACCTGTCAGATTAAAACAAGAAAACTGACAATTCCGAAGCAGAAGCGGATGATTAAAACGCACCTATTAAAAATATTGCGACAAGATGTAGGCAACACGTAATAAGGGTTCAAAATGGCGGAGTTTTCTATCTCCTTTTAAAAGGCACTCAGAAAGCTGCGCAGTGCGACCATTCTCCGTATAGTAAAAGAAAATCAAAGTATGTGATTCTCAAACACCTAACAAGTCCCATTATATATCACCACAGAGTGACGAAATATACTAGTTTAAAAAAAAAAACACACCTCTAAACAATCTAAAATCTGTGATTAAGGCCAAGTTCAATTTCGTTTGACATATAATCAAGTTTTTTTTAGGTTAGAAAATTGCATTATCGATTTTTTCATCCGAAGTAATACAAGACGTCACTTTAAATTTCTATCTCTTTATGTCAACAAATATGTAACACGATGCATTTATAAAACGTATGTTACTAATGAATATGTGGCGGCAACTGACGGCAACACTGTCAGTTACTCCATGGCTACCAATGAACTGGAGTGGGGTAGAAAGCCAATGTGCATATTGTATCAATAGAACAAGATGCGACTCTATGGGCGCAGCCATTTTTATATCTCATCTCACTCGGGAGTATTTATAATAACCATTTTCTGTTTCACATTGTTATTGTTCAATCCACAAGCTGGTGGATCAGACAATAACAAAGTGAAATAGAAAATGGTTGTTATAAATACTCCCAAATGAGATGGAAAATAACCTGTCTTTGCCCATAGAGTCGCATCTCAAGCCTATTGACAAGCATTCTACCCCACTCCAGTTCATTGATGGCTACTAGAGTACATACAGGTCCGGTATAAGCCATATATAAATAAAAAATAATACTTTAATGTTTTGATTGAGTTAAATAAAATATCAAAATTAAATGTTTATTTTTAAGTAAGCGACATTTTTAAATGTATACGTCTTCATTCAAAAATAATATAGGCTAATACTCAAGTCTATACGAGTGTACTGGACAAGAGATAATTTTACCCTTTACTCCAGTTTTTTGTAATGAAACCAGCGGTAAAATAGATATTTGTGTACCAAGGCGGTGTTTTGGCCGAATTAAACATATGCGTTCGAGTCTAAGCTAGTTCTGGTTAAGTATAAGAGTAATAGGCAAGAAACGGGTGTTCAATCAAACTTGACATCGAGATAGATATCACATAAGCAGGTGTACTGAAAATGAGCTTTGCAGGACCAAGCATCAGATAGGTATAACACTTGATATTCTGAAAACTATGCATACTACACTGAATAAGAACGAATGAAAGTGTCAGAAGGAGGCTAACGGCAAAAATAGACGGAACAGAGCTGAATAGATAGATAAGTAATATTTTAGCCAGGAGAGAGTCGATGAGTGTTATAAATATAGTTATTTATGAATGTATTTTCAATGTATAATTTCAGTTTATTTTCACTTTTGGTATAAAACTATGGCTGACATAATAAAACTCTTAAAAGTATATATATTTTCAATCTTTATTACTATACATTATTTAGTTTTCATTTATTCTCTCTGACCTAGGGAAAAGGTTAGAAAACCCTGGTCATAATTGTTTACAATGTTGGTGTTCCTAATGATACAAAACATTACAGAGGAATGATACTTAGCCGATGAAATCTCATCGAGCTCATGCATGACGTATTGTGGTATGGAATATGGCTATCTCTGATGCATATGCAGATTTAAATTTATTTTTGCATACCGTTTTCTATCAACTGATACCCCAAATTTATACAAGCCACGTCTTCGCACCACAATGTGACATAGCATCAAATCTGCTAAATCTCGTACCATTTTTTTTAAGTATCAAGGATATTCTTGGTGTAGCTGATCATCATGTTTCGAGTCATCGAACCTAAAAAATAACAAATATCAATAAATAGAATTCGGAATTTATTCCAAAAATATTTTTCTTTGGGAATTATATAGGATTTCTCGTTAATATACTGACAAACTTTTAAAGGTGGTAGGTGCATCAAAATAAACATTTTTTTGCTTAATAAAATAAAAATAATGTTATTGTCCAACAAATTAATCCATTTACAGAACAAAATACATGAAATAAATGTTAAACATAATATTTTGACAGAAAATAATTTTAGCAACAGCAAGAGAAAAAAAAGAAAAGAAAGAATCCTAAATACATTAGCTACAAATTAGTACAACTAATGATCGGAATAAATATCCCAATCAGAACAAAATTAATTAAAATTTGAGCACATTAGCGTTATAGGTGAATTTCTTCCCAAGTTCGTTCAAATACTTGCTGTATAAAATGTTTTATGATATCTAATGGCTGTTAGGGGAACATTAAAATTTATTTAATTTATCAAAAATAGTACATCAATAGTGTTATGCAATATTTTATAAAAAAAATGTAACACTGGAAACTACCCTTCTATTTTCGAAAGAAGCAGAGATTCTTCAATACCTCGAATGGGATACAGCTCATCTATTTTAAAAGAAAGGTACTTGAGAGATCGCCGCTGAACATTTTCCAATGATCTTTATGAATATTGTAAATAAGGTTCCAGATAAGAGATGCATATTCTAGCCTGGAACGAACTAAGAACCCTAAGCTTTTCAACGCAGAAGCAACTGTATTTTCAATATAATCCGAAAAAGTAACTTTTTGGTTGAATAATATACCTTAATCTTCAATTTGTGCACAAGTCCGATAAATGTAGGCTGTTAAATAAATAATCAAACTCCACCTTGTTAATACTTCTAGTATAGGAACATACTTCACATTTAGACACATTCATAAACAGCTTGTTTCCATTACACCAATTTTCAACGATTCCCAAGTTGGGTCTGTAAAAAGTAACAGTCTTGAATTGATGAGATTGATGTAAATATTTTTAAGTCAGCAGCGAACAGCAGGTTAAATTTATTGCCAAGTCATTTATAAATATACTAAATAATAGTGTTCCCAGATTGGAGCTCTGTGGAACTCCAGATGTTGCTGTGAGGGATGAAGATGAAAATCCGTTGTAAAAGACATAATTAAAACGATGATTTAGGTAAGATGAAAATAATCTCAACAGCGACTGATCAAACCCTAAGCATTCCAACTTCCTTACAAGAATATTATGATTTTTAATTATTACAAAATACATTATGTATGTACAAAAAATATTCTAAACATATTTTAACTAACAAGAGTTTTATTTTTAACTAGTTATATTCAAAAACAAATGTCATTTTTAAAACTATGTTTAACAATAACCGATGAGTATACAACAAGGTTCACAGTTTAAACTAAGTCTACATTTTAACTGCCTATTGTACAATCCGCCATATGTACAATTCAAAATTAATTGTATTTCTTTAAAATGCACTTGATTCTGTTGATAAAAATCATTCGATAAAAAAATTAAAAAGTATTGGTATAAAGGTGGTTTTTATATCTATGCTATAAAGCATGCATTGGGGTAGCATGTAGATTATATAAGTATCAGGTCAGAGAGATTCAAATTAAATAACATATGTAGTGGGATTCTCATCTTTTGAGTACGTCTCCTATCGAAACTCCTATCTTTGTTCGATGTATGTAATGTGTCGAGTTGGCACAAAAGAATCGCTGTTCTGATCAGAAGAAATTAACCACATCAAAGAAGAAAATTAGGTCCCCTGTTATTTTTAATTTATATT